CTGCCCCAGCACCCCCACCCCCACTCCACCTTATGGCAACTTCCCAGCAAAGTGGAGAGATGCATATATGAGAGCTGGGCTGTGATCAAGACAGCAAGAGCCAAGGGCAAAGCAAGGGCTTCTGACTGCTTTCTACCTTAACAGTGGCTTGTTTTTATTTTTTTTTTTTTTTTAGAAGTGAAAACTACAGCCCTGACCCCTTGGAAAGGTTGGTATATTTATTCCCAGGCAGCTCTGCCTGGGTGGGGATGGATATCCCAAACTCTTCACCTTTTTCTTGGATGCCTTGTCTTCTGAGCTAACCCTAGAAAGCAGCCCAGTGGGATCCTTCCCTGACCTTGGGCCATCCTATGACAATCTTAATTAACCTGTCTCCAAGGACCTTCCATTCCCCCTGGGTAGCTTCCACCCTTAGATGTCTAACTGCTGTTTGCTGGCAGCACTAATGAGCACCTGCCAAGGGCCCAGAATAGCTCCACATCTTGGCTGTTCCATACCAGGCTGGCCTCTCCTCACACGCAGATGCTCTAATGCGATGATCTTCTTAGACCTTGGCCTTGCATGCTGTCTTTTGCTTACCCTGTTCTCTCTTCCTCTCTTTCTAACTTGGAGCTGGAAGGGAAGTGGTGGGAGGGAGGGGAAAATGGAAGGAAGGGGGAGGTTCTTGGGTGAGTCACTTGGCTATGGATTAAACGGTGTCTTATTTGAGGCTTTCATTCCTGCTAGATGTTTCTGATGGATAAATTGACAGTCATCAGAGTTCTCTGGGACCCCAACTGTCCTGGTAATTAGTCTTGTTAGGCCTTCACAGCTCTCTAATGAGGTAAACGGAATAAAGACATCCAAGGCAGAGTGGAGGGATGGCCGCGTCATGAACAGTGGCCTCATCTGTGTGGCCCGTGTCACCAGGGGGAGGGGCGAGCTGCTGCTCTGGCCAGCGTGCAGGCTCAGAGAGGGCCCTGCCCCTGGCTGCTGGGATCCACACCTGCCTGGACAAAAGGCCATCATCTCATGGAATTCTTTCATAGCCTGGCGAGTGGGGTATAGCCTGTGTGGGCCCCACCTTTCCCTGTGTCCAGGTGGGACAGGCCCCATGGCCTCACTTCTCTTCTCCTCATTCTTGGAAGATGTGTAAGTTACACACAGTAGCAGCCCCAAGTTAGTGGAAAGAAAATTGTATTTGGAGACAGAAGTCGATGGAGCTTGGGGAAGTCACTTAAGCTTTCTGAGGCTAAGTCTCCACATATGAGAGCTGAAGAGAACAATCTTCATCTCGAACCTGAGTGTCTTTGAGGGACTGGGACACCGTTCCAACTGCAAGAACTCTTCCCGAAATCCTAATTGATATGATTTTACTTCTATGCATACTTTCCCTTAAAGTATAAAACTTTCACCGGAAGTTTTACTTTTTACTGAAAGTAAAAACTTTCAGGGATTTTTATTGGAAATAGAAGAAGAGTGAAGCATATGTAGAAGAGAAACAGAGATAAAACAGAAAGTAGGGAAAGAGGGTTTTGTTTTGGTTCAGTCGGTCTTTTGCTTTTTTCTCTGAGTAGAATCTTAAGAGAAAATAAAACACACAGACAAAGTAAACATGAACATATCAGTATGCATCAAAACATTTTGGTTTCTTCCTTCTTTGAGCAAAGCGTTTGTTAAATACCTGCCCTGGGCCCAGTTAGACATAGGCCCTGCTCTTAAGGAGCTTATAACACAGATGAGGAAATACATATTAGATAAATAAAGAGAAATATATCACAGACAGTATGTATTTTAAAAGCTGGATGCATACAGTGCTATGGAAGCAAAACAGGAGCAAAGTCAAGGAAGTCTGCCTGGAAGTGGGAACTGGGGACCAGAACAGAATCTGGAAGGAGTGGGAGTGATTTGGGTGAGAAGAATTTCAGGCAGAAGGTTGGAGGGTGTGAGGTTGGGAAGGAAAGGGAATATGGCTCACACACGCACACTTGAGTAAGCACACATGTATGTGGCGCCCGTGTGCTTTGGAGATAGGGAGAAACCAAAGAACAAGAGGCAGGAACAGTGGCTGATGATGCAGAGAGCAAGAAGATGAGGAAATGTAGGGAATGTTCTACCATGGAGCTGGGAAGTTTTGTAAAGGCTGTAGGATCACATGGGTTAGTATCATGATGAACGTGGACTCATAGCAACACCGCTCTGGAATTAACATAAAGAAAAACTTCAAGGGGTCAAGGTCACGGGGGACAAGACCCAGTCTGTGAACTGTCATGGCAATTGAAAGGAGAGCTGATGCAGTTGTCTTCTTTGAGAGGACACCTGGAGTACCGTTGTCTCAATGTTTCTCTGGGGTCAACCCCTGTTCCCTCCTATTTGTGACCAGTTTTGTCCAGGTCAGTGCTCTCGGACATGCCCAAGAAAAGAATGGGTTAGGGTGAGGGGAGAGAGCGTGGGGGTGGGGGAGGAGGCAGGCCAGACGTGGCCCCAATGCAGTGGGTGATGGTCCCCTGTGGGCTTCAGACAGGAGAGAAACAAAGGCTCTGTGAGCTTGTCCAGGGTAACAATGCAAACAAGAGGAGGCTCTGGCACACTTGGTGGCTTTTGCCTTTCTTCTGTGGGAAGAGCTTTCTGACACAAGAGGTCAGAGCCCCTCTCTGCAGGCTTTCTGTAGTGTGTCCCAGCAGGCAGCAGAGCCACAAAGGAACTCTGGGGGCTTAGCAAAGAAGCCAAAGACACGGTGCCCAGAGCACGCCCCTACAGAGGCGTCCAGGCATTGTGAGGAAGATTGGGGATTGTTTGCACACTCACAGCTGCCTCCCATGCAGCACTGCAGAGGCTCTGGCTGCAAACATGCTTTTCTGACTCTTCTTACATGTTAACGAAGCCAGGTCCCTGCTGGAATGTCTGCCTGGCTTGAGGCAATCTCCATTTTTCTCCCTGGAGACTCCCATGAACTGGACAGCCCCAAGAGGAGGGACTGCAGGTGGGAATTCCAGAGCCATGAAATGCAGAGAACTGGCATTTATTCTCTTCTCCTTTACCACAGGGCATCTTCTGAGCCATGGCCAGGGCTGGGAGTGAGGATGGGAATATGCTGGAGGGAGTGGGGGAGTGGGCTGCAAAGCTGTGTGCAGGTGCTCAAGAGAGCAAAAGAAAGGCAAGAGAAAAAGAGCCAGCTGCCAACAGATGCATGTCTGGCCCAGAGCACGCAGCGCTAAGCACGCAGAACACCCTTGGAATCCTCATGCCTTGTGCATGGGAAAATGGAGTGCAGCCACTAGGCCTGTCCCCGCTATTTAAGCTGGAACCCAGATGCACAGAGGCCTCAGAAACAACCTTTGTGGCTCAGAGTTAGTCTCAGTAGAGGGCAAAGGTCTTGATGTGAAAGATCTTGGAGTGGCCCAGAGTGGCAGGGGTTCTCCAGGGAGAGAACGGACCACCTCAGCCTAGAAGGCATGGCGAGTGGCTTCTCTCCTAGGGTTCCAAAGAATGCTCTATGGACAACAGAGATTGAATACGCAAAAAAAGGAGTCCTGATGGTGGTTTACAGAGAAACATTCCATGGCAGCCGCCTTTCGTTTTGTGTTGCCTGGAAGTTTATTTCCCAGCTGGTGTAGAGCAGAATACATGGGTTTCGGGCTTCTTATCATGAGAACTTGCACTGCCTGACCTTGGAAGTGCTGTGAATCAGACAGCACAGACACATGAGATTGGAAGACCCAGTCCATTTTGAACTCATAGCGACTGCCCCAGAATCAGAGATTTTTCTCAAAGGTCTAGGAATTAAAGTTAGATGGGCAGTGTTTCCAGGCCAGGGGCTCTAGGACGTGATGGAATCATCCCATATGGAATCGAGAAAACCTGGTTTGATGCTGATCTGCCTTAGCCAGAAGCGTCTCTGATGGTTAGCCTCCAAGTCAGACAAGCAGGCTCTGGCTTTGTTTTCTTGACCCAGTGTGGACATGGGCTTAGGGGGGATACCAGCCTTTAATAACTCCATTAAATTCAGCACAACAGAGCACTCCAGAGCAAGTCTGACAAAGTGCCCTGCTGCATTAGGTACGCACCCCATCTGGGCCTCCAAACCTGTGTGTACTCTTCTTGAATCATGGCTCCATTTGTGAGGGACATTCTTGGTCAGACACTTATATTTCAAAAATAGGGAAACTGCTGGGATATTTCATGCACCTCGTGGTTCCTGCCTTTGGCCCTGCCTCCTGAGAGTCTCTGTCTGCAGGCCAGGTTGAGGTGCACCTTGCACCTGCAGATGTTCACGGTGGTAGGCTCTCCATCCTAGTGTCCAGCTAAGCCTTCCCTCACTTGCATGTGCACAGCAAAAGATCACCTATTTCTTCACTTGATCCCACCTCAATGTCCAGCAGGCTGGTTCTGGCCTTTCAGGGACAGGATACTTGAGCTAGGGCCTCCGTGAACTCATCCAGGTGGGGAAGAGGCCAAATGCTGCAGGCGGAAGCCCAGTGCCCGGCCCAAGATAGAGTGATAGAACGGATGCCGAGTCCGAGGCAGCAGCAGCAGGGAGACAGATTGTTGTGTCCAGCAGGTCCTTCCCGGCCCAACAGGGCGAGCAGCTGGAGGGTTATATGCACATTCAAGGCAGACACTGCTCAGAAGTGGTCAGACGATGATGCAGACACTACAAGGGACTCACTTCCTCGAAGCTCTTTATAGAACATGAATTAATGCTGCCACCTTCTTCTTGAACTTGACGCTGAGCACGTTACAACACAGTAGAGGAGTTGTGACCACCAGCACACATTAACCTGAGCCTCTTATTCTCTCTGTGTCAAGGAAAGCTCCCCGTTATATAGTGTGTATCCACGGCACCCAAGCTGTGGAAGGTTATTTCTAGTGAGCACCCCTCCCCCACATACAGAGCGGGAACATGAGATGTCCCAGTTAGAGGGACGCCTCATCAGAGGCAAGGCCTAATGACAGCAGATCGCGTGACAGATGGTCCCTCTTAGACCAGGCGGCCCATGACGAGTGTGTTCTTTCCACAGGCCCCGGCGCGGTCAGCGAAGTGAACAACGGGACGTCGAGGAGGGCAGGCTGCATCTGGCTGCTACCTCTTCTGGTCCTGCACCTACTCCTCAAGTTTTGATGTGAGTGCCACTTCCCCCACTGAGGAGAAGCTGCTGCCACAGCAACCGCCCACCACAGCAATGGCAACTCCGACAGCAACGAGAGCACCCCTGTTTCTTATGAGCTAGAATCAAATGAAATTACGAGACACAGAGCCTAATGGGACACAAATTCGAGGGAGGGAACAAAGAATACTTTGGGAAAACATGTTTCAAAGGGAAATTGAAAATCGCCTTGCAGGCCTTGCAGTTCCGTAGGCACAGCTGAGTTTTCTTTCTTTGCCCAAACGGAAAGAACGCACACCTGACTTGGGACCCACCCGCAGCTGCATTGTGACCTGTTTGTGCGCAGGGTGGGCCGGGCTCAGCCACTCTGCCCACTAACGTGCCCCCGGCAAGGAAAATTCTGGAGTCGGCCATCCCAAATTCAATAGACACGAACACAGAATGAGTTGTGCAGGCCCAGATGTGCCACTGTGGCCCCTTTCAGAGACTGTGCCACTGTTGTGTGTATTACAAAATGCAAAATTAAAGGAAAAAAAAAAAAAAAGAAAAAGGAAACTAAACAAGACAGTCTGACAGCTATAACAAACCCACAATCAACAGTCACAAAAGATATTATTAAACTTTTTTTTTCTTTTTTTTGGTTTTCGTTTTACTACATGGACATCATGGATAATAAGGGATTCTGGTTCATTATTAATTTTATTAATTATATTTTCTGATATGAGCCTAGAATTTAGTGCAAAAACAACACAAGACTAAAAAATACACAAATGAAAGGGGTGAAGAGAAGTATGTTTGTTCAACATTAAAAATAGTGTACTTCTTAACTAGGTTTACAACTGGTGGACCACACACCGGGCATTAACCACCTGGTGAGGCTATGTCAAATCCACCAAAAAAACACATACGATTTAACCAACATCTCCACCAGCGCTACAGATTTCTCCTTATTCTGGCATTTAATGCAGACAATACTATGCTTCTACCTGCTGTTTAGAAATGGAAGGGTGATCCGCACTGTATCTTGAGTTTGTTGGCTATGCTTCTTTTGATGACATATATTATACAGTATATATATACATATATTTTTTTTGTTAGAGTTCTAGCCATTTTATTTCTCAGCAGGGTCCTTTCTCAGACATTACTGCATGCTGTATATGGCGTTAGCTGTGTGTTGATCTTCTAAAAGATGATAGAGTTTACTGGTAATTGTGTAATCAGCTCCTGCCTTTTTATTTTCCTGGGTTATTTACACGTCAGAGACATTTATAAAAAGTGAAAAGAGAAACAAAACAAAACAAAACACTAATACCAGGCGCAGCGTCTTTTCCAGGTGTGGCTCTCGGAGGGGAAGGCCCTGACCGGAGGCCTGGCTTCTCCATCATGCCTCGGGGCGTGAGCAAACAGCAAGTAACTGAACCAACTAAACAGTCAGTAACCACTTGCTTTAGCCCATTATGGGAATCTCTGATGCCTTTGTGACTACTGGAGAATTGAATCCTCTTGGTTCATTTTATTTAATTCCCCACCTTTGTGTGCGTGTGTATGAAAGAGAAGAAAATGCAGTTTTTAGATAACCTTTTTTTCCTCCCCCGAAGTCTGGGAACGGGAGAGGCCTCGGGGAAGGGTCCTGGATGTGATGAGGGAAAGTGGGATTGGGGGCTAGGGGAGGGAGGGGTTGTCTCTGACTTGACATTAAAAAGTGTTCCATGTCCCTCTTCACCTGGTGTGGTACCTCATTCTCAAGCGGGGGCAGGGGTGAGGGGCAAGAGAGCCTGTCTGGCTCAAGTGGGAAGAATATGGAGGCGAAATTACATCTGACTCAAGCCACTGATCTTTAGCTCCCTTCGTTGGGGTGGAGTGGCTTCCTTCTGTGGATGTGCTCTGATGACAGATGGGTCCAGGAAACCACCTTCATCCTCCTAACAGAAGCAAAGGAGGGGTGGCTCTCATGAGGACTGCATCTCCAATGTTTTCCAGACGGTGCTGACTGAGGTTTTCAGTATCCTGCTTGTGTCCAAACACCCCACTTCATAACCTGAGCAAAATGCCAAGCCCAGTTAGGGAAAGGCTTTTTTGTGTGATTATTTCTGGGAGGCAGCCTAGTGCAGCTAGCACAAAAAGAAAAGATGGGGAGAAAAAAAAAAAGCCTGAAACATTGAGGGTTAGTATTAAATAATCCCAAATTCTATTAATCGGTGTTTTAGGGACTCTTCCCACCATGCCTACCCCCCAAAAACTTGCCTTTTGTCACAAATTAGAGAAAAAATAGATTTTAATACCAAATAGTATTCAAATAATTCTAATCTGTTCTGATTGATTCTGGGAATTAAATAAGTAGCTGCAGATTCACTGAGAGGCAGAAATGAGGTCAGAGCTGAAACACTCAGGAATTACCGTACCTGTGTTCTCAGGGCTCACTTCCACCCGAGAGGAATAGGCCATGTTTAGGAAGGAGTAGTTTTCGGTTCTGGCTGTTACTAGCAAAATTGAGGAACGATTGTTGGCCTCAGATCTCTCTGTGTTCTTTTGATAGTCCATCCTCACCACCAGGGGCCAGCTTCCCCACTTCTTCTGGCAGCATCATCTGCAGCAGTCTGCCCGAACCTCACAGAAATTTGGCTGCTTTGGAGTCACCCCTTCCTTGTATCCCAGAATTGCTAAAGGCGTGGGATTTGAGTGTCCTTTTACTGAAAGTGGATGGGTCAGATTTACCAGTTCTCCCTTGGCTGAAACTACTGTAGGCACTGGCAAGAAGATTTGCGTGCAGGTCATGGTGTTCAGGACATTAACGTGGACACTGGTAGCTCCTGTATTGCTAAATTTGAGCCCAGACACCTCTGAGTAAAATGTACCAAGGCATCTGCAAAGAGACACTTCCTAGAGTTTGCTGGTCTGTGGGAGCATGGAGACACATGACCTCCATTTGAATCAGAGCTTTCTCTTTCATACTTAACTGAATATGCTTTGATCACACCTCCTCCATCCTCCCAGGAGGGACTGGTCAATGATGACTATAAAATGGCATTGATGGGGAAGACTTTAATTTACCTATTTGAGAATTCAATAGCCCTTCTTGCCTAGTGGTTCTTTAGAATGCTGGTTATTCAAGAGCACGGGCCTTGTACAAGCAGCTTTGGACATGACTAACGGGTTCAGCAGGTAGGAGAACCTCCTATCCGGCCACAGGAGGGAGCTCCTCTCATCTTCGGCTTCTTGTGTCACATGAGTCCCAATCTGCTAAATTTCATTCTTTAAAGGGAGTAGGCGTGTGCTCACAAGAAAGGACCTTTATTTAACCAGATGCCCTGTTTAACCCAGGAAGACATGGCTATGATTTAGGAGCTTATAGAGACAATTCTCAGGCCTGTCTCTTTTCAGGAAAAGGAGCATGGCTAGAGAGTTCTTGTTCACTAAAGAAAAACATCCTGAATAGTGTCTGAAGTTATCTTTCTTGGTACAGGTACTGATGCAAGACCATTCCCACATGATGGCCTGGATTTCAGGTGTACTGGACTCTTTGAGATTCAAGTCTACTTTAGGATTCATCCAGCACCCCCTCCACACACACACACACTTTAGGATATCTTTTGGGAGAGCCATGATTTAGGTCTTACCCCATATTTAGGTTTTATCCCATAATAGTTTCTCCTGTGATTAGAAGGTATGGGGGTGGGGCCTGTTCTAGCCCTAACCACTCTAAGCGAATTCCTAAAGAACCCCATTCATCTTGTTTCAACAGAATATCTATCTGTTCCTTTCTAGCCAAACAGATGTGCAATGGCTCACAAGTTATAGTTAAGTCTTTCTCCATAATTCTTCTGCATGGTGGGTTCAGATGTCTCACCTGAAGCATAATGAGTACTTGTCCAAGGACGGCCTTCTGATGAGTGTAACTTGCAAATCTGGAACTATAATCACAGCTGATGATCCACAAATGTTTGTTTTTGTTGCTGTGGATGGTGATAATGATGATGATGATGAATGACGGTTATTGTTCTTCAAGCTGGAGATAAGTTAGCAAATGAATTAACACTAAAATGGGACTGAGATTAAGTACATTTCACTAGACTGACCTATCTTTATTGTATATCTCGGTTTAGAAGGGAGGGCAGTCATACCATTCAATCACAGAAACATCCCTTTAATGTGTGCATTTGATTTTTTTAAAAAATGTAAAATCCGGGATCAGCAAAACAGCCACCATTTTTTATGCTTACAATGGTACAAATTTGAGATACTTCTCAGGACAGGAGAAAAATCTATGCAAAAGGAGAGATATGGCATAGTAGATGGTCCCTGCTCATGATGAAACACCTTGTGTTTCTATGGCCAAGTGTATATGAACATACCAGCCATTTACTCTTTATCAGATAAGCAACTTAAAAGTGCTAAGATTAGTGGTATCTGAAAGAGGCACTAAATAATACTTCTTTCCAGCATTAAAAAAAAAAAAAAAAAAAGGTAAACTAAATCCCAGATCTAATTTGGTTCACAACTTGCTCACTGGGATTTGATTTTATAGTTAGCGTCTCTTTTATCTTCACAAACTGCTCAATCAGGTCATTCTAAAGCATCAATCCTTACCTCTCTCTGCTTTTAATTCAGACATTATTTCCATGAGTGTCCAATTCTATTTTTCTCCAAGGCAATAAATGCAAATGAATATGCCCATGATTTGTGAGTAAATGAGATCTCTGAGTCTCTGCATCTTCATTCTAATTTTTCGGTCCCTCACAACTTCCTATCTCTCCCATCTTATCCACATTATGTGACTAGAACAACAGAGCTTTCTACAGCAGACTGTTCAATTCCTGAACTCAAGATATGATCACTTGTTATAATTTATGTCTGGAGCGTGTTGGTGCATTATTTTTTATGAAGGAAGCTTAGTTTGGCTTTCATTTTCTGAATGTTGATCTTACCCCCATCCAAGCTTCCATGTAACTTAGACATTGCTTCTGACACGTTGTTAAGGTACATGCATTTATTTCCGTACTTCAGGGATTGTTAGTATTATTAGAAAATGAATTGTACCTCTGCCATCAAATATCTATTTGATTAAAACTTCCTAGAAATGTAAATTGGCTATGGCCATAGACTTTATGTGGTTCCCAGTGACTCTGATTGTAGAATTTCTAAGTATCAGCACAGTATTTTGGATACAAAACTGAACTGCTGATCAGCAGAACTAAGAACTAGTCCAGAGTCTATTATTAGATAGTTCAGTTCTCTTTATCTTTTGTATAAGGCTTTATGATAGAGGATTACTAATCATTTTTAATCTTTAAAATTCAACCATGTAATTTCAGACTTTATAAGATTTCTGCAAGTAAAACTTCAGAAAGTTGTGTTTTTGATAAATGACACCGGAAGGTGTGAATTGGGATGAGTACTAGAACCAATGCATCGTCCTTGTTCCCAGAATGGCTTACAGGAAGGGGACATGCAGGATCAAAGCTGCCATTTCTACATATTTTTAAAGTGACTCCTGAAGGAGAATTGAGGGATGGACACTGGAGCACCTGGAAAATAGTGTTGTCAGTAAAAGACAGAGGCTTTTTCTAGAACAGGAAATTATGCTAGCCCCAAGCTGCTGTTCAGTTTTGCTCTCTATGTGACACAAGTAAAACAAGAGGATAAATTGTGATACATATTCAAATCTAGGGAAGTAAAAGATATTGGGGCTAGACAAAATACTCAGAGTTCTCACTAGGAGCATATGCGTGCACACATATGCACATGTGCTTTTATGTGCACGTGTGTGGGGGAAGTATGTACTGTAATTATTAAATTACATAATCCTTCAAAGTAGGATTATTATTAATCCCTGTTATTCTCAAGATTCATCTTTAAAATAATGGGATAGAATGATGAGATGAGAGGTCTCCAGATAAGATGTTTAATAATTATATCACATCATCCTGATAAGTGCTCTGCTCAAGAGTCCAGAAATGTTTATGCAGGTCTCATTTGACATATTCGTGTATTGTTGGTTCAATTCTAAGTTCATTGAGTGCCCCTCACCTTTCATCTTGCCCCTAGACTCTGTGAAGAGCATGAGGATATAAGAGGCAGTGGGCAAGGATTAGACTGAGTTTGGTATTGGAAACTGCTTGATCTCTGGTCCCTTTTTCCAAATGTGTGTTCCTGGCTACTCTCCAAAGCTTCAGTTTCTTCTGAAGGTTCATTTGCAAGGTTGATGGAAGGATCAGGTGGAGCCCTCAAGCCATATCTTCTGCACTTGTGAGAACTGCAAAGGGAAGAAAAGCACAAGCCATAGAGCACACACGTGGGTGAGGGCGTCCTTGTCTTCCTTTGGAAGGAGGGGGTAGAAAGAGAAGGAAAAACAAAATAAGTGCTTTATCATGTCACCAATCCAAGCCAGTGCCATGTCATTCTTTTCATTTCTGTCCACAATTATTTTCCTTTGTATTGGACACTTGGAAAGGAAGACAGACAGGAACTAAGATGTAGAGTAATAGCTTCTGTCTGGTAAAAAACAAAATTCGGTTCTCCAAGGGTCCATCATAGAGTTTAATAAGCAGGAAAAATGAAGATAAAATGATAAAATAGAGAAGAAATAAAAGGATACAACTTATTCCTGAGCCTGTATGTGGGAGGTGGTGTACATATACACACAGCAAATGTGTCCTGTGGTGCCAAAAGTAAATTCTTAGAGGGTAAAAGTGAGGCCCAGCCTCCTTCCTCACCAGTCACTA